AGGTGTACCAATACTTTTGGCAATATACTGTATATATAAAAAAAATATAATATATATATATATATATATAGATATACATACATACATACATACATACATACATACATACACGATCAGTTTTGGGAGTTGTATTCACAGGCACAGGCCAGATAAGCTGTACAGTATCCAAGACTTCTGTGACATTTAACCAGCATATGGGAATGTGTTCACGTTTCTCAGGGATCACGATCTTGTGTAAAATGACGTATCTGGTTTATTTCAGTCCGGGTTTTATTGAATTGATCCTAAAACCAGAAAACAAGAACATTCTAATGAAAATTCGAATTCCTGTGCAGCATTGCTAATGCAATTTTCTTTTTACCATGCAATAACTTTAGAAAATATAACCATAAGCTATTGCATGAGATTGATGTGTGTTGTTCTGTTAACCTTGTGCATTTGTGTGCCATCCCTCCTACTGCCAAAGAGGCCTGCATTACATTGGAAATGCTGTGCAGACCTGTCTGGAGTGTAAATGATTTCTGTTTTCCAGTTTCTCAAATCAGTCTTGTGCTTCTTTTTAATGTGTGTCTCTTTAAATTAGAGCTCCCATTTCTCTCGGTCAAGAGCAGTAAAATTCCTGCACCACTCTGCTTTTCCTCTTCTGCCCTTCGAGCTCCAAGAATTAAAGGCGCTAAGATTGTGATCTACAGCCCTGTTGATGCTTGTTCACCACTTTCTCAAGGTCCCCCTGGCTCCTTCCAGCTTTCATGCTGCCTGTTCTCTCCATTCGCAGGTGGCATTTGTTGGTGTATACTTCCTGGGTAAACGTGTTGCATGAATGAAAACATAACACATAGAACAAAGGGACAGTTTACATTGTTCAGTATTTCAGAAATGTTTTGTGATAGAACTAAAAGTTGCTTAATTTCATTTTGTAATCAAATGAGCTACACTGGTATTCTGTGTGTTAGTTTTCATTCATGTCTCCCACAGCCTGCTATCACACTAGGAATTCTGTAATCTGTGGCAGCTGCAGCATATTTAATGGCAGGTATACTCAAATCTGGAACTAAACCTTAAGTGACCATGTTTTCTTACATAACACAGTTTATAATGGTTTTATGATATGAGTGTAAAATATGAAGATGTATCAATGACATATTTTGTAACCTCTACCCTATTAAGACAGTTTGAAAGCCTTTGATTGTGCAGCAGTGCAGGAAATAAAAGCCACTAAATTGGAAACATCTTAAAGAGGACCTGGACTGTGGAAGCTGTGGCAAGAATTAGTATTGCCTGTAGGCTCCCTGCAGATGTTCTTTCCCCATTACTGACTTCCACAGAATGGATGAAGCAGACGCAGGGAGTTTCTTGCACTGCACGTTCCCAGGTACAGCTTTCTCTCCAGCAAGCAGCATAGTGGTGACATCACCAAAACTTCCCTCCTAATTTCCTGAGACTAGCAGCCAGGGGCACTGTGTCTTAGATGATTTCACACTGCAGATAAATAGCTATGAGGCTGAAGGCACAGGAAGCGCACTGCTATTCAGAAGGATTCAAAAGGCACATGCTACTGCTTAGGCACAATTACTATCGCTGGATTTTACTAGAAGTTAGCAAAACCTCAATTTTGAGTTCAGGTTATGTATGTGACTCTGTCCAGTTCCATGTGATCTCAACTTCATTACTGCTAGCTGAACAGATCATGGCGGCCTGTTTTTTTTAAACCCTGAAAAGTTTGTCTTATCCTATTCCTTTCCTAGCTATTGCACACAACCAGCTCTTTCCTATAGGGTGATGAGTAATCTTCCATGTAGTGCCTGTCGGCACATCCAACTTTAATGATCCCCACATGCAGGTGTAGCATCTGTTGACATCCACCCTATTTCATGTTGTCAGGGTCACTTTAAAGTTTTGTGGTTGCAAAATTCATTACATTTATTTCTACATCGTTTGCTTTTTGTGGCATCATTTTGCTTTGGAAGAATATAAAACAATTATTTTTTTAGCTGAGATTATAAAGAACTCTACAAGCAAGTGTAGAAGTTGTAGAGATCATTTTAAGACATTGGTCTACCATTGTTCCTGGTGTGATCTGACTGCTGCAATAGAGGCTAATTATGCTTATTTTAGTATGTGTGTTCATATAAAACTTCCATAAACACTTCTTTTCCCAAATATATATTTACCTACTTTACAGTATCTGTTCTTCTGCCAGGCGGGGGGCTATCACTATAAGATGTACCTGCCAGATCCCTAAACTTCCTGTTATCACAAAATAATCACCTTAGGGCCGGTTCACACCACAAACTCCACGTTCCAATGCGTTCGGCCTCTGCAACGCAAGCTGTCCGGCACCCTGCATTCAGGGGCGGGAGGGGGCATGGTGGTGCATTTGAAGTCAATGCCACCGCAGCCACGCCATCCCCACCCGCAGTGCGATCGCCCGAACCTGGAACGCAAGCACGTTAGTGCCTGCGTTCCGGTCCAGTGTGATCTGCAAAAATAGTGCTTGCAGTATTTTTGCAGAACGCACTGGACGGGAACGCAGGCACTAATGTGCCTTGCTTCTGGGTACGGGAGATCTCACTGCGGGGTGTGTGGTTGCAGTGCCATTGACTTCAATGCACCGCCACGCCCCTGAACACAGGGAGCCAGCCGGCTTGTGTTCCAGTCCGTTCCAGAGGCCGAATGCACTGGAACACAGACTTTGTGGTGTGAACCGGCCCTTTACCTTGGAGAGCTTTTCTTCAGCAGACATGATTTTGCTTTTTAGTAAGCAAAAAAAATATATATATATAACAGGAGCCAGAAATTGATTAGGATGGTAATTGTCAACTGAAAGATGGACTCTGAGTTTGTTCACACAGATGTCTTACTTTTTTGAATCCATTTCTGTTAAAAAGCAAGAAGGAAACTACAGCACAATGTATGTCTTTCATCCGCATGTTTTTTTCCTTGTTTGCTTCTTTTATGTATATTTAAAATGCTGCCATTGCCATGCACAGCTGCTCCAGATTCTGTCTGCTCCCGTTTTGATAAATCCCCCTCAAGGTCCATTTTCTTTCAGTCTTCGTGGCATTTTGCTTTCTCCTTTTCTAGTTTTTGGTGATGAACACTGACAGGACATCTAGAACAGGACTGGAAATAGAAAGAAGGCTGAAAGAAACTGTCAACATTCTTGAAGTGAAGGATTAAAACCTGATTACGGTGGAGAAGAAGATTTAATCTGCAGGAATAAAGATGCCAATGTGTGCATTGTCATACCTTTTTAAGGGTTCAGTCCACCAAAAACCAAATATATTAGTTTTTAGTGGATGCTTGCAGGCTGAATAAGCCACTAAATTTGTATTCCTCTTTGGGACTTTAACAACAAGATCTCCTTCATCTAGTTTACAATAAGGAAGATAAAGCAGATAAGTGGCTGCTTGCTGCAGCAAAAAAAAACTTCATTGTAAATGGGGCAGTAAGATCACCAGTAGGCCGCCTTCTGCTTTCTTCTGATAAAGCCACAAGGCACATTACAGATATATATATTAATACAAATTCTTATTTAAAGGATGTACACATTGCTTCTCAGGACCACTGATATCTTTTTATGGGCAATATATGAAATAACTAGTGTTTGTTAGTGTTGCACAAGAACCATTTTTGTGGTCTTGGGTCTCTGAGTCTGTTCTTTTTACCAAGGCCCACAAGTGTTTTGTAGCATAGTTTGTTACACAGACTTCAGATGGTGCCTGGCTTTGCATGTACAATCCAGCCACCTGATTGAACCTTCTTCATCTCTATTCTAGCAGAAACCCCTTCTCCTTTCTGGGGTTAATAGGGTCAAATTGACTATAATTTCCAACCATAGTGACATAAAAAACAAAGGAGCAGGATGGAATTTTTTTTCACAAATGAAATTCCAAAGTTGTGAAAATGCGCATAGATTTTTGCATAAACGCTCGTAGGGAAAATCCAGTTGGAACATGCGATAATAACATCAGAGACTTGATGGTTGTCGATTTGAAATTTTGTTTGATTTTCGTTTTTGTTTTACATTTGATTTTGGAGTGAATGGCGTTTCCCGAATGAAAACCACGATCGCCATTACAATTTTGTTCGATAGAGAAAATTTTTCCAACAGGCTCCTTTTTGAATTTTCTTTCACCACTGCGGTCAAAATCGATCATCGATTTGACTGCAACAACTATTAGAAAGTTGTAGGAACGTTCCAACATTGATTAAATTCTAACTGTGTATACCCTACTTAGCAGCGAATGTGTTTTTTTTAATTTGGAATTCAAGAAACTCCATTGATTCCAAAATCTAATACTAG